TTACGTCATAAATTATATATTCGAATTCTCAATAAAAATTTTATGTAAATATAATTTTGCTTGAGTACCATTGCGATTACTTGCTAATCATATCTATATTGACGCTTGAGAACACCCTAGAAATTATGATAATAGCTGTAATTAGCTAAAATAAATTTCCGGCACTTGTAAAGTAAAATTTCCGGGATTAAAAAAATTTACCGGTTTTATTAGATATTAACTGGAAAAACTGGGTAAATTAGAATAGATTTTTTACTAACATCTTGATGGGCTTCCCATAAACATAATTAACATGTATTGAATGCATTCACAAACTGCATTTATTTACAAAAAAATATTCGGTTTGTACATATAGAATCATTTCTGACGGTCGATTTTTTTATTAATAACACTAACGAAAAATACTTAGGATCTTTTTCTTATTATATATGATACCCGATAAGACAAGCACAAATAAGGTTTAAAAATGCTATAAGGAGAAAAGTATAACATTCTTTATCCAAATTCACATGTCGTAAAGAACTTGAAATTTCACAAATTATCGGGTTTAAATTATCTAAAAAACATCAAAAAAAAAAGATCAGTATTAGAACTTATAACTGAACAGAGTTTCTTTATTCTGCTTTATTCTGTTACTTACATATAGATTATGGAAAAACTTGCTCATCTATTATTTCATAGAATTTACTAGTAACATCTCGAGATCTGGCACTCATCCGGACATTCTTAAATTCTTTGTCGTGCCAAAAATATACAACATTTAACCCCTTTCCTGTAGCACATCAGAAGGCCAGTATGGATCTAATATGGCACCTCTTTGCGTGAAAAATGTACAACCCAAATTTCTGAAGAATGGAGTTGCTCGGCATATTTGAATACCTTATAGAAGTAATTATTCAATTCTGGTATTGATGACGTTGCCAAAAGTTCTATTACGGCTACAGGATTAGGTTATCACTCTCTGTTATCACCAAATCGCAATAAAGATGATTATGACCACCATCTTCACATACTTTCTGAAGATGCCATTGGCTAGTAATTTCACAGTTATGTATCTTTACGAGCCAATTCGCCAAAATCCGGTACATTTCATAATGGTACACACTTTCTCTGGGAACTTTTGCATTGCACTCAGTATCAACTTGCAAATGGTTTGAACTTTTATATGCACGAGCTGATCCAAGTGCAATAGTATTCTGGTCAAAAGTTCATACAGCCAACTTCATCATCTTAAGAATGTCTACAGTTTTATTTACTTGTAAAGGTACGTCTTTGTCTGGTAAAAAGTAAATAATCTCTGGAACTATACAGCTCTTTTTTACTGGTGAAGAGTCTGTTATATCTGAAGAACTTCGCCTCTTCCTTAATAAAGATGATGATAGCGTTGATGACAATGCTGGTGATAATAATGATGCTGGTGTCAATGCTGGTGATGATGGCAATGCTAATGCTGATATTGGTGGCAATGTTTATGTACTTTTTTAGCTTTGCTAGCATTATTCCACAAACCTTGTACTTTATTAACATCAACCTGTAAAAAAAACAAAATCGAATTAGAAATACTGTATTTCAGAGTAAGTACAATTAGACAAAAAAATAAGATTAGATGGCGGATGCAGGAATATTCCAATAGATAATTTTTATCAGCCGAAATCCTCTTTCGGAATCAGCAGACCTTTACTAAAATTATAATGATCAATTCCATGATGTTTACTAGGGCGTGATAATAAACGCATCCATTTCGATACTTGCAGGATTTCTACTAGGGCGTGGTAATAGGTACAAGTATCTGGCTATAGAACCCCATCAAATCAAATTATTTTATTATTCTGAATATGCTTACTTTTCTGCTCTTTAAAAGATTTTGAGCAATATTACGAACTTCTTGGGGTTAAATCACAGATGCCAAAATATGCTGGGTTTAACATACAGTCACTCTTATGTATTCTGGAACAAATTTCTTTGAATTTTAGATGGACATTCAATCTACTGTCATTTTCCAGTCCTATAATGAAAATCTAATAAGTAAAAAAAAAAATCTAAATATTTGCGCAAAATAATACCAGCATGCAAAGATCATTATCAATATTCTGTAAAACATAATAGAAGGTACGATGGGCTTCCTCTTCTCAGTGCGTTCATAATTGTCCACTATCATGGATATATAGCGGTAAAGAGACCATTTGTTGCAGGGAAAAACTCGAAGTACTTGCCATACAGGATATTTTCAGAAGTTTCTTGAGTATCGCTCATAGTATTAGGTATAGTAAATATTTGTTGTCCGAAGCGTAGCGAGGACTTAATGGTGTAGTCATAGACCAGATTTTGTGTGTGTTTATGTCCGTGCCTATTTTTAGATCAGAAGAACATCGCTTACAATTTTTTTTTAATTCGAAATAAAAAAAATATCGCGTGATATGTAATGAAATTTTGGCTTCGGACATCTAACAGCACCTGTTTTCTAATATATTAGAATGTATAAAAAAATCGTAGCAATATACAACGTAAAAATTATACAGATCAAACTTACCTATATAAATCAAGATCAATAAGAAGACGTGCTAAAAGTCTCAGCTAAAAGACGCGTGTATTCATATTTGAGATGAATACTTCACGTTAATTTTAGGATGCTGTGTACTTATTAGAATGATCAGTGTTACAGATCAACGATAAAGAATGGCCTCCGCATTGGCATGGGTACCCTAAGGGTAGGTCCGAAATTGGCCGGGTTTGGGCCTGATAAAAAGGCCCATACAGGCCCAATAATACCCGGTAACCTTATAGTTCTGTCTTATTCCTGATTTTATTTATGTAAATCCCAAGTTTATAGATCTAGTGTTAATTAGTAATTTGTTCACGCACTAAATTTAAGGTTATACTGTAGATTATCTTACCTTTCGATAATGTAGGTCGGAAATGGTCGGCGATCACATGGCGCGACGATGACGATGTACGGTAGCTATCTACGTAGTTACATAATTTAACAACTAAGTTTAGAGATAGCATACGTACGTACGTATGGTTATTAACATATGTAAATATATGATTTTTGTAACCTTTAAAATGTAACAATTAAGTATTGTACAGCGAGTGATAAATGCATTCAAGAAGGTGAGTAAGAGCCTAAATTAATAGGTCAGAGTTCAAAATATTTTATCCCAAGAGAGTTCATTATAAAAATGATAGAGACTATCAGAGTTTTGCCGATTGGCCAAAATCTAATATCCGCATTTCGCAATATGAATCTTCAACAAAACTATACTTCAAGTAATACTTGTGCATGATCTCTAACACGTAGCAAGATAACGTGAGCCTTCTAAAAAAAGTACTTTAAAACCAATACCGATACGTATAAAAAAATATCAATTGTGTAACTATCTTCAAATTGATGGGAAGGTTCCCCTGTTTGCTTTAGTACAACACGCTTACAGGTATCTTTCGTAGAAAATTAATTCCCTACAATAATATAGGTCATTACTCGCAATTTTAGAATTAAAAAAACATTTCCATATTTAAAATTTACTTGATCTTATTATGCAGACTAAAACTTCGTATTATCGTTTAGCCGACTCAGGTTTGAATGGCCCTAATCGCGATGGTGAGAAAGATGAACGTGATAGATCAGAAGGAGACAATCAGCCTAAGCCACAGTTTAGAGATGAATGTTTCCGTAAAATGGATTTAATGATCGAGTTGTCAGTATCATTTTTGGTTTTCAATAGCTGTGTCGTTTGATGAACGTGGCATTAAAATTATTGGTTTTAAAAGCACAAACCTTCGTAACCCGAGACATTGTCCAAGTGGCGTTTATGTTATGCCCTCTGCTGACAATTTTCATAGTAAGAACCCTGATTTTTGGATTCTCACTTTACCTCTGAGCATATGAATTTATTCACTTATACTGGTATATTTTAATAGTTTGGTATGGTGTTTTGTTCGTTCATAAGGGATACTACAAGGGCGGCGTTTTCAAGTTTAGATTGAACATTCCTATTGAATATCCTTTTTTGTGAAGCTTTATGCCTGATTTAACAACGCGTATCTACAATTAAATAAAAATGAATACCTTAACATTTTTTCTAATACGTATCCAGAGTATCCTCCAACGGTGCAATTCATTTTCAAATTAATAAATGACGTTGGTTTGTTCCACCCGCTCATCCACCCAGAGACTGGCAATTTCTCTTTGACTCAACAATTCAAGGATTGGGAGCCACACAAATATTATATTTTCCATGTGCTTCATTACGTCAAGAAGTCGTTTAAAAAGGGTGTTTTGGATAATTTGTCAGAAAAACACTGCCTAAATAAGGATGCCCACGATACGTTAGTAACAATTTGTTGTTGTTCATTGTTCATTATGGTTCATACTAGTTCATAACTCTAATTTTTGGGATACACAATTGAAGTTATCGCGACAACCCTAAAAGATTTGGAATTATGGCCAAACAATGTGCCGATTTATCAACTTCTGATACGGTTTTGTATGATAATCATAACGAATCCAATCCAATTCAGTTTTCAAAGCTATCAGACGAAAAGCTTGGTGAGTTCTGTTTTTTTTTTCTTGTCGACAGATAATATTGTGATGATAAATTTCAGACCTGTTCCGAATTTTTCCTTGAAGAAAATACTTTATTGCCAAACAACAACTGATTATTTTACTTTCAAATTGCTGTATTGCAATGTACGATTACTTTCATTTACTAACTACCTTTTTATTTTGAAAATTTATATCAATATTATATATAGAGGAACTAAAATCATTTATTAGTCCACCGGTAATATTTATTATTACAGTTCTATTTTCGACTCTATTATAATAATACTATTTGTAATAACAACAATTACTCCAATTCTTCTTTCTCAGGCTACGGAGCGTGATAGGCCCAATTATACTTCAAGAAGAACTTATTCAACATCTTCTATTGCTTCCATTTTGAATCAGCAGTAAAGGTTAATGTTTGTGAAATTTTTTTGATAACTTGCATGCTTGTTTATTATAGTCGAATCTGTATATCTAACGTGTGCATTATTAATAGTTTATTTGTTGGTATTTGTTAATTGTTTATTAGTATAATAAATATAAATCTTTTACTAAGTATTGACAAAGAATTTTTAAATTTTTATAATAAAGTTTGAAATGACATTTTTACACTTCTAATTACTATTTTTCGAAGATATTTAGCAAAGTTTTATAAAATTTTTATTTAAGGTTTATAAATAATTTAATAAAAAAAAAATAATAAAATTTGTATTAAAAGCTTACGAAGACCGGACCTTTTAAATTCCGATAAATGTTATGTGATCATTCAAAACTCTACAGAACTGTCGCCATGGATTTGTCATTACGCGGCTTGATGCTTACACATTGTCCTTCTTTTGAACGCTTAGTACTATTATAGATGGAACTTATAAAAGTTTAGAAAAAAATTTTATAGTAAAATTTTTAAATACAAACTTTAATGCTACTGTATTTATTTTAAAAGATTCAATAAAACTTAAAAATTTCTTTAATAAATTATATACTGTATATATTAAACTATATATTTAGTATAGAGTTATTATAAAAATTAAAATTTAAAAGATTTGTTAATAATTATTTAAAAAAATTCAAGAACACAGGCAAAATCGTAGGTTTACAATTTAAGAAATAGTTTATAAAAATAAGAGAGAAGGCATAAAAAATGCACAAATTAAAAAAATATAGCAATTCTATTGGCTACAAAATATATAAAAAGCTAATTGATTAGTTAATAATACAAGATATTTTTTTTATAAAATTTTAAAAAATAAGAAAAGTATTATATTAAACAAAATTAAAAAAAAAATACATAGTGGTGGCTTAGTAAGTGGCAGATTTAGAGTTTGAATCTCTTGGATGACATTTTTGAATAATAGCCTGTGTTGTAGTAACTAATTATTGGATCAGCAAGATTTGTAACTCAAGTTGTACCAGGACATTAGTACTTGGAAGATTTTGTGATATTTATATTATATTATATAATATAAAGAAATACTAACTAGTTTAGATAGTACAAATACATAATAAGTTCAAAGAAATGTTTGAATTTTAAAAATAGTTTAGAGCAGAAAACATGCTTGAAAAGTTTTAAATTGTAAGATACTGTAGTAGCTAACTTTTAATATTATTACAAAATAGAAGACTATATTAAAAAATAAACTAGAGACTCAATAATCATAACCTTTATAGATTCAAGATTACACCAATCTGGCCACCAGAGTTATATCAAAGAAAAAAAACATGTGCTCTAAAAGCATATACCAAGAAGAGGATACAGTATTATATAGCACTTAAAACCTAAACAGACTAATTTTTCCAAGCTAACTAAATTGAAAGTAGAATACACTCTAAAAAAGAATCTATAATATTAAATAAGAAGTAGATACTAAAGTTAGTTATGAACCTATTAAAGACAAAAGATATATGTGATTTAGATAACTAGGCTTGCTAGTATAGATTAAGCTATAAAATAATATTTCTAATACCTGATCTAGAAATATATAGAATATAAAAAGGTTGAAATAGATATTGCTATGGTACAGGATATCTAGTCACATCATAGTGCTGAATTTTGAAATATATATATATAAATATATAGTAGCACTGAAATTTTATTAATTAGTGCTGAATTTTAAAATTTAGTGCTAAATTTTTTAAATTTATATAATGTTTAATAGTGCTGAAATTTTTAAGAGGAATTGAATAAAAAAAAAACAAAAAAACAAAAAGAAATTAAAGTTTTGAAAAAAAAATTTTAAATATTAAATTAATCTATTAAAAAGTATTTTACAATATAAGCGCTGAATTTTTTATATTTACTAATAAAATAAAGTGCTGAATT